GAAGAGGCAGTTTTGCTTATTAAAGGTCCGGAGCCGGCGGCAGCCAATCAGCGGGGAGCTTCCATTTTGTTTTAGGTATTAAAGGCCGGTCGGCGCGGTCCCCCCGCCGCTCGGCGGGGCGCGGAGCCGGGCGGAGCGCGGTGGGCGCATGGCGCGGCTGCGCTGGGTCCGCGGTGGCGGCTGGGCCGCGGTCGGGCAATTGGCTGGTTAAAGGCAGCGGGGCGGCCGCAGCCAATGGGCGAGCGGGTTCCATGGGGCTTGAGTTATTAGACGGCGGTGTTAAAAACATCCTTCAGCAGACAGCAAAGGAGAGGCCGGGAGACCAGGCAGCCATTTTTCTGCAGTGGAAGCGGAATTGGCCAACTGGGGCTTTTCCCTTTGTTTCCAAAAAGGGGGGATCCGCCACGTGAAGCCGCACCGGCACGCTTGCGGGGGAGCGCTCGGGGTGGTGGGTTATGCCTAGCACCAGGCTAGAGGACTGGCTGAAGAAGGAAGATTTAAACAAAAAAAAAAACCAAGCAAACAAAAAAAAAACCAAACAAAAAAAATGCGGATTTTTTTTTTTCCCTTATGATTCGGGATCCATCTTTGTCTTGTGTAACTAGGTCACGGCACACCCTATGTCAGCAGTTAACAGTTTCGAATGCCAAAAAACAAGTAAATACATTATTTTTTTAAATATTTTTTTGTTGTTTTGGGGGTTTTTAAGTTTTCTAGAACTCTCTAATGACTGAACAATAAATTTTAGAGAGTATTTCCTGTATAAACACTTTGATTCCTGGCCATTTTTATTAACTCCTTTGGTGCTTACAAGGTAACGTTTTAAATATAGGAATAGTGAATTCTGGCAAAAAAAAAAAAGGCAACTTTACTATGATAAGCTTTTTTCCTTTTCTTTCCTCTTGTGTTGTAAGTACCCAATCCATTCTGTCCTTGCTAAGTGTAGTTTTCATGTTAATGTTACTGAAGTGGTCCTTATTGCTAAGCCTTCATGTGCATGTTTTATGTTTTTGTCTATCTAAACCAATTTATGCTTTTTTTTGAACTATTTTACTTATATAGCATAATGATCTGGCTAAAGAGATGCTTACAAGTTGTTTACCACTAGTAAATGTTAACCAGGTGTTTTCACACTTAAACATGCAGCCTTAAAAACGATCCAGGAGGACATTTTTAGCGTCTGCGTGCTCCATGGAAAAACACTGAACGTCCTTTTTATGTACAGAGTAAATCTGCCACAGGAAGGTAGATTTAAGCCTCGAGTAGGAGTCCTCGCTGCGTACGGTCAACATAGCTGGACAACTTTTTTTCTATAGGTTCCCCCCACCCTTTTTTCTTTTTCTTTTTCTTTTTTTTTTTTTTTTAATTATGCTAGACCACCGCCATACAAAGATGCGTAACTATCTTAACAAGATCCGCTTTGACTTGCAAACTTACGAGAGAAGTGGTGATACAGATCATATATATATTTATAGCTGTTATTTAGGAAAAAAAAAACCCAAACAAAAAGCGTAACAACTTCACCTTCCGAGCTGCATTCAACTATGGTGCGCGGGTAAGTAAAACCCTTTTGCCCTTGCAGAGAAACATATAGACCAAGGCCTGTGTGGCTCAACGTTATTGTCCTGGGTGGAAAGATCCTAATGGTCGTCTTTAGGAGCGGTGGCGATCTCCTTCTCCTCAGATACATCTAACAGCGGCTCTGAAACGTCTATTTTTTTTATATTTTTTTTTTTTTCAGGGAGGGATTTCTTTTTTTTCTCTGCACAAAGCGCTTGGTCGTCCGCAGCCCTGTTGGTGTGGTTTGGTGTGGGGTGTTTTTTGGTTTTTTTTTTTTTTTCAGGGAGGGATTTCTTTTTTTTCTCTGCACAAAGCGCTTGGTCGTCCGCAGCCCTGTTGGTGTGGTTTGGTGTGGGGTGTTTTTTGGTTTTTTTTTTTTGCGGAGAGACGCTGTGAATCCTTGGCAGGCGTTACGTGGCTGTTAAATTGAACGCACAAAAAGAAAAAAAAAGATTAAAAATCTGCCTGCGAACAGCAAGATGTTACTGAGGTTGGTTTTAAAAAAGGCGAAAAGGTGGTGATGGTGGTGGTAGGGATCCCTTACATGTTTTATCCGTCTAATTACAGAAGCTCGACCGAGAAAAAAAAAAAAAAAAACAACCAGGCAACAAAATGGGGGTGGGGGGGTGTTTTTCAAGACGGTGAGTCTTAATGGCGGATGTCTCACTAAAAAGTACTGTAAAATCCTTCATACCGAGAGGCAGTGACTTGGAGAGAGGGGGGAAAAAAGGAGGTCTGGAAGTAAATCCAAAATGAGGGAGTTTCCTTCCAAGTGAGGGACCCTTTGCAGCCTGAGTTTTACAGTTGGAGAGCCGTGACGCAGTTGATATTCACAGCAGTTGTGCTTTAGTGCAGCCACCCAGCCCACGAAATGGCCTCCCCGCCGAAGTCTGGTGGTTTTATTATGTGAAAGCCTGCCGAAGCACCGTGTCCCGGGCGCCGGGAGGGGCGGTTGGCGTCGGGCAAGGCGCTCCCGGTCGCGCTCCGTGTTGTGTGAGGGTAGCCGCCATCATGGCTTCTCCTTCGGCGCCGCGTTCTCCTCAGGGTTGGGGCGGCGGCGAGGCGGGCTCTCCCCCACTGCCTGGCGGCGCTTCGCGTCCCGATCACTGAAGGGAAATGGCCTCTTTTTTTTGTCTTTTTTTTTTTTTCCTCCCCC